CTGTTAAGATCAAAGCAGTGTAATAAACAGTTATTTAAATCTAAACCAGCCATACACCAGGGCTTGTGAAGCAGCGAGTGACAAAATGGCAAATGATCTAAGCTCCTGGTAAAACAGCTCTGAAAGGAGGTGAGCCCATTCACATATTGAAATGTTTAAGGGCTCAGTTAAATGCTCAGATTCCCTCTGTGACCTTGTGTGAAGAAAAATACATATATCATTTATCTACTGCTCTTTTTCAGATTCATGTTTTTCCACCGAACATTCCACAGGAGACATAGTAAATGAAAATATAACATAAAATTCTGAATGTATTCGTGACTTTAACAAGAGATTAGCAGCGGGAGGGGAGGATTCAGAGCATCTACATCGAATGAAAATATGTTTCTATAATCTGTGTATGTATATATATATATATATATATATATATTCAGGGCCTAAAGGAACCCTCCAGTCACCATAAAAACTTAATCTAAATTAGTTACAGGAAGGTGAAAGTGCCGCCAGTAAGTTGACGCTCTAAGTCAATCAGTAGCCCCCCATTCATAAACAAGGTACGCATCTTTTTTTAAGAATGGACAGCTACTGATTAGCTTAGAGTGTCAATTAACCGCTAGGTATGTACCTTTTTTTATGAATGGGAAGCTACTGATTGGCTTAAAGTGTGAGCTGACCGCTCTAGCTTATCAGTGGCACCCCTGCCCAGCAGCACTCCACGCTGTTGAGAGAGAGTGATAGAAAAAGATAAATAAATAAATTTGATCCTTAGTACATCCTAAGTGGGACCGGAGCGTGAAGCATTCTTAACGAATACAAGCAGATAATTATTCTGGTTACTTTTTGAGTGACAGATTATTCATGGAAAATAAATGTAAGCATTTCATTTTAACAGATCAGTACACAAAGGCTACAAAATCGTTGTTTTCTTAGCATTTAATGACATCTTTTACTTTAATGGATCCTTTTCTTTTTACGAGCGTATACTCCGGAGCAGCCAATATTTCCAGTTTCTATGTCGTTTACCATGTGCTTTTTACAGATACACGCTGAGCTGGCTGTAAATCACAAACAATCCCTCGATTCAGCCAATGGCTCTTAATACATGCAGCTCTGTAGAAGAAAGGTCACAGTGTCAGGCAAAATATCATCATAAAGCATCTTATGAATGACTTTTTCTGGTCATATCCTGTATTATTTTACAGTAACCTACTTATTTGCCTTTATGACTCCATAGATCAGTCTGCGTGTCTCAATAATGGATTAGCAGGAGATATAATCATTCTCTGTACGGTGATGTAAACATTTGTGTTCACCCATAAGCTGCACTGCAATGGATATCACAGCCATATACAGATATAATTAACCTGTTCATCACAGCTACCTTGTTATGACTGCTGTGGTTTAGTCGGGTTTGCCAAAGTGCCTTCTCAAAAAAGGGTTAATAAGGACAGTTACAAAAATAATTAACCCATACTTTGCTAATTCCTTGTAAATCTCCTCTGCTTTGAACCTTGCATACAGGCAACTGTATTCAAAATATAATAAAAAATACACGAATTAGTAAACTAACCTAGGAAACTGATTAAATGTGCAACACTCATTGAACAACATATGAAGATAGTATATAGGTGGTATCTGGTCCCAGAAAAACTACACAGGCTCTACCCCTCCAGCTCCCCAGACTGCTGGAGATGCACCAAACATATCGGAATCACCTTACATGTCTGGTGGCAGTGCCCACTGATACAACCACTCTGGAGGGCAGTACAGAGAGTGCTTAAAGAAATCACAATCTCCGAACCACAATATGACCCAAGCACATACCTACTACTAGCACTACCTCCAATGACCCCACAATATATGAAAAAACTGACATACCACCTCCTGCTTACGACCCAACGAGTAATCGCGAGCGCATGGAAATCTTGCAATACCCCTTCCATAGAAGCAGTCCTAGCCGAAATGGACAAACAATGAATCTATGAGAAACACTTCCATAATATATGCCCCCCCACGAACACGACATTAGCTACATGGGAAAGCTGGGATAAATGGAGGCGAAAACATCCCCCTGGATAGCTAGGTGCCCCAAAGCTCAGGGGATAACTGAAGGGATGTAAGAATGGTATAGCAGAGCGGAGACCTAGATAAAGCGTACAAAGCAAAGTGTAGTATTAAAAGATAGAAATGTATTCCATGTCAGTCCTCCTGAAAGGAAGACAAATGCTTGTATATCGAACTGATGCTCCCCCTCCCTGCCCCTTCCCCCGTCTTCTTCCCTTCTGTACCCCTTCCCCTCTCCCCATTTCCTCGTGTTGACAATTCCTAATGAAAACAATAAAAATTGTCAAAAAAAAAAAAAAAATAATAAAAAATACAAAAGTAAGAATATAATAAAAGTGGAGTGCTCTATCACCTGTGTAAATCACTTGAAAATCACACACAACAACAGTGAATACAATATAATAAGAAGGTGAGAGCACACAACATGTATAAATACCACAATTGTAGCAAACTGGGTCCAACTGGGTCCAACTCACATGATTCTGAGCCAATTAACAAAGCTGGCTCAGATTAGACCGCTTAAATTGGAGGACCCAGTGGATGCAGGAAGTGGGTCTAGGTGATTCTTTGTCCCTTCGTTTTACACATGTATAAATCCAGAATGCAGGAAATTAGGTGAAGATAAAATACTTTATTGGACAAAATAATATAAATAAAAATCAGACTTCACATAAATTACATAAGTCCACTTTACGCGTTTCGGCTAAGTGCCTTCCTCAGAAGTGTATTCGAAATATGGCAATTTAGGGGGCAGGGGCCTAACTGTTGAGCTGATCAGACGGATCTTGAAAGATCTCTGAGGGAAACGTTCACAATTTGTACTTTTATTGTATTATTTGCGGCACACATTGATTTTCCATTGCTTGCAGATAGCTTTCACTCTTGTGGGCTCCAACATACATATTTTTGAAGCAGCTCTGATCATGTTTGGTGGATTATGACTTGGAATGGTCTCCGGCCTACTCAGCATGGGTGAGAGGGAAGCGACCAATCCCTCTGCCCTTAACCCCTTAACGACGCTGGACGGAAATTTTCCGTCAAGGCAGACCTACCCTTAAGGACGCTTGACGGAAAATTTCCGTCAATTACTAAAGTTAACGCCAGATTGCGGCGATCGTGGGGTTAACGCTGTTGCTAGGTGCCTCGGCGTTTGAGGAAGCCCAGCAACAGCCAATAGTGCTGTCCCAGCACATGTGATCGTTGTGACAGCCAGTCACAGCGATCACAGTGCAGCTGGGACTTCTGATCCTCCTCCCTCCACCTCTGTGTGTGATTAGAAGTGGAGAGAGACGGATCGTTTGAAACTTTGTGTCCCTGACAGACACAAAGTGTTTAAAAGTTTAAAAAAAAGTTTTACCCCCTTTAACTGTAAAAGTTTAACCCTTTGATCACTGGCAGCAGTGATCACAATACTGATCACAGTACTTTACTGAGATCTGAGGTTTTTTTTTAACCTTCAGGGGTTAACTTTATTTTCTTTTTAACCCTCAGGGGTTAAATATATTTAATTTTTTTTTTTTTAACTTTTATTTTCAGTTAATTAGTTAGCTGGGGTGGATTGAAGCTAGGGGGAATTGGGGAATCTAGCATTAGTGTAGCTAGGAAGCTGAAAAGTTTTAGAAAGTTATTAAAAGTTTATAAAAGTATAAAAAAAAGTGAAAAAAGGAAAAAAGAGAAAAAAAAAGTAGTTTATTTTAAGTCAAAGCATTTCTGCTTCGCTAGGTGTAAGCACGGTGATCTGATTCCTGTTTTTACCCACAGGGGTTCATTTTTAAAAAAGTTTTTAGAAGTTTTAGAAAGTTTTTAAGAGTTTTAAAAAAGTTAAAAAAAGTATTAAAAAAGTCAGAAAACAAAAAAAAGTATAAAAAAAAGTTAAAAAAACAAGTTAATTTTAAGCTTTCACCATGCTTAGAAAGTTTAGTGCCGAGGAGGCATATAATATATTAGCAGCCGACTCAGAGGCAACCGACACTGCCTCAGAGAGTGCAGAGGGTGACTATGTGCCAGACACAGATGAAGAAAGTGACGATACCCCTGGCACTGCTCCTGGCGCTGATATCTGGGTGCCCCTAACAATTTTGTCCCCGACATCCCTCTGTTCACTGCGACTCCTGGTATTCAGGGAGACGTGACCAGCTATAACTCCCAGGATTTTATGGAGCTGTTCCTTGGGGATGATTTTTTAGGGCAGATAGCTACACAAACAAATATTTATGCAGCGCAGTATCTGGCACAAAATGCAACAAGTCACCTTGCCACAAAAGGGAGCTGGTACCCCACCAGTGTGCCAGAGTTAAAACAGTTCTGGGCACTAACCATGCTAATGGGAATTATAAAAAAGCCCAGCATCCGAATGTACTGGTCCAAAAACCCAGTATGCAATACTCCCATTTTCTCTCAGACCATGAGTAGGCCCAGATACGAAACAGTACTGCGTTTTCTGCACTTCAATGATAATTCGAAGTGCCACCCCAAAGATCATCCGCAGTCAGGGGCGGACTGAGAGCCTTTGGGGCCCCCGGGCAAAATTAGATCCCAGGCCCTCTGAAGGCCAAATATATGTGCATTAAATAAATGTTAAATATAATTCATAATACGGCATTCCTTTGGATGTGTGTATTGTGAAGACCTGTGTATCAATGCATGTTTGTATTTGAGTCTGTGTGAATGCACTTGTGCATGTCTGGATGACTAAATGTGCTTTTTTGTATATAGGGTCAGTGTGAATGCATATGACAAGTGACAGAGTGTGTGAGGGAGAAGGTGACAGGTGGAAGAGTGTGGGAGGTTGTGACAGGTGGCAGAGTGAGGGAGGGGTTGAGTGGTGGCAGAGTGAGGGAGGGGTTGAGTGGTGGCAGAGTGAGGGGGAGACAGTGAGTGGGTGTGACTGGTGACAGAGTGAGGGAGTGGGTGACTAGTGACAGAGGGAGGGAGATAGGGGTGACTAGTGACAGAGTGAGGGAATGGGTGACTAGTGGCAGAGTGAGGGAGGGAAGAGATGACTAGTGGCAAAGTGAGGGAGGGAAGGGGTGACTAGTGACAGAGTGAGGGGGGTGACTGTCACTAGTCACCCCATCCCTCTCTCTGTCACTAGTCACTCCCTCCCTAACTCTGTCACTGTGTCACCCGCTCCCTCACTCTGTCACTGTGTCACCCGCTCCCTCTCTCTGTCACTAGTCACCCCATCCCTCTCTCTGTCACTAGTCACCCCCTTCCTCACTCTGTCACTGTGAAGGAAGGAAGGGGTGACTGGTGACAGAGTG